TATTTATTTCAGCGAGAGACTATCTTCTAAAACTTTACTCTTTCCGTTGCTGATATCTAGATTTCAAATCTTAACCTGCTGGTAAGCTCTTATTCTTTTTCTTTAATGTATACCCTATCATTATCGACAATAGTTTCCTCTCATCATTTCATGAAATATGGACGAATATCCTCCATTAAAAAAAAATATTTCCTCCTTGATATTTACTCCTGAGCGTCACTATTATTCTGATCTATTGCATCTATTACCTTCTACGTGACTATTTTACTTAGATTCCATAACTAATTCCCTTTTCCACTTCTTATTCTAGAATTTAATTTTAAATCGATGAAGATACCTGAAAATGATTTTTTAATTTCGTGTTCTCCTGATAAATAACAACTCATATTGACAAGTCTAAAAAAATTCAAAAAAAATATGGTGTAACTTATTAATGTTAATATTCTTAATTTTATTAGCCAACAACGAAGAAGTGGGAGCGGCAAATACGGTATACAATCATTTTGATTTTCGTAACATTTTTTTTTTTTTTTTTTAATTATCTTCTCAATAGGATGGGGGGACCGACTTTAATTGTATCAACAATTGAAAAGGACCGGTACAACTGCTCGTGAATGTAAGGTCTGCGATTCTGAAATAAGAATTGCTATGCATCTTCCCTTATGTTTTAAAAACTGTTTCACGAGTGGGTGCTCACGCAACCCGAGTCCTGTTGGATATCCCCCATCCTTTTCTTGTAGCACAGTCAATAGTCGACCGAGCCGAACCATATTGGATACCCCCATCCTTGGAACGAAGTCGTATTTGTAAGTTACTTGTTTTATTTATTGTATTTCTTTCTGATCTTTTTAGCCTTATCATAAGGATTGTTATAATTGTACTCGTATAATTTAAATAAAAAATTGTGAAAAAAAACATAATAAAGTTTACCATGATTTTTTAAAAAAATGTTTGTAATGTAATTATATAAAGGCTATACGTGCCATAAAATGGTCTACTTCGATTTGAAATTCGCCGATTCTTGCTTCGGCGTTTCTATATTCTAAATTGCGTGGAGTCAGCAACAGTTCATATGGTGGAGAATGTTGATGGAGAAGTTATAGCTGATGCTGTGGTGGTTATTGTTGCTGTTGCTGCTGTGGATGTTTCTGTTGATTTTGTTGGCGTAAGCTGCGAGTAGCCGCTTGCACTTTCTTGCGTCGTAGTTTTTCTGGTTTTCAGTGTTAGTTGTGAAGAACTTTTTTTCTGCTTAAAGTCGATTTATGTATTAAATTTGGTAGTTATTGTTTATCAAAGTAAGCGGCGAGTAGCCGCTTGGCACTTACTAGTGTAGTAGTGATTTTGGTTTCCTCGTTGTAAATTTAATTCGAGACATGTAATTAATAGCATAGCATTGTTTTCCGAGTATGGTTAATTAGAAGATCCATTATTATTTCTCTAGATCATCCCGTTCAAAATGCTAATCCCTCTAAAATTTATTAGCATATGTCTAACCTTTATAGGTAGAAGTTTATTAAAATCTGATCAAGAATAAAGAAATTTGATCTTTTCTTTATCTTACTACTTTAGCTTAGAAATACATAATACGGCGTCAATCAGATGTTAACCTTTTCTAGATTCTGCTTTCAGGTATCCATGAAATTTTTTTTTCGCCTTCGATAAATAGCAATAAATGTTTTGTTTGACGGAACGGATCGCTTGGGCCGCAGCAATTATTTTAAGTTTTTACTTTTCAGTTCGATCGAGGGCCATAGCTTAATATTAAATTTTCCTATTTTTATTTAGTGTTTACATTATTTAATAGCGAGGTAAGTGGTAATGGTGGATTGTTTGAGTTACGCCTCATGCACCCTAGTTATTAAATACAATAAGTCAGAATTTAAGTTTATGCTTCAATATTCATACCATTAAACGTTGATATTTATTATTCGAATTTCAAAAATAATAGTAAAATTTATTGAATTGAAACCAAGAAATATTTTAATAAAGCATATTCAATGTTTGAATTACTCTTAAAATTGAAAACATATAAATATAAATGATTAAAAACATTGCAGTTTTGCCAAAATCTACCTGTGTTATAGATGGTGAGATTTCCTTAACCTTGAACGTTCACTTTAATTCAACCAATCAATCAATAGAGTCACGATTTTTATTGTAATTCAAATTTTAATTCTGTGCCATTGTATTTTTTTTTTTTCAGATCAAAAATATCGATTTGTTATGGTCGAGGAGGAAATTGAAGTCACTTGATTGTCTGATTAGATTTTGAATATATATCAAAATATTAAACGGAAAGAGCATCCTAAAGGATATTGCATCATTTGGAAATAACTTCAACAATTAGTTAAGATTGAAAAAATTATTAGTAATTTCATATATTGATAAAAAATGAGGTTGCGTGGCAATACCTTAATCTAATTTTGGCAAAGAAACATTCGAATGTAAGTTTTGACAGAATTTGATGGTTTTTACGATGGGAATTTCGATGGATTTCAAAATTTGCAGTTCAAGATTATAATCTAACGGGATTTTAGGATTGTATTACAAATCGAAGATTATATTAATCAAACCTTTATTTTGTATTCAAAGATTAGTAACAATAATGAGGATATAAGTCGAAATGTATCGAAATTTGAAAGGAATCCTGACGTCATTAGAAACTTGTAGAATTTTACAAAACATTGGACGAGACGAATGAAAGAGTATTTAGAAATCACTTCAATCCTTTAGTTATTCGTATAAAAAATAAAAAGGAAAATAAAAAAAAAAACTCCAAATAATTTTTGCGCCCCACATTACCTAAAAAATAAAAATAATTTAATGACAAGATAAAACAAAGTAAAAAAAAAACTTACCTATGCGTCCTAAGCGATTAACCAAAAAGGAATTGACGAAAAAATCGTCTAAAAGAAAACAAAAGAATACTAGTTAACAAATAATAACAATAATAATAACTTGATAAATTAAGCCTTACCACAGCGGTTCGGACCGATTCTCAACCATGAATTTGAAAAATGAACCTAAAAAAATAAAAATTAGAATAATTATTAATCAACCCTCAAAATAAAATAATTCAAAAAAGGAAATATTAAAAAAAAAGCCTAAATAACATCAATTGGAAAATCAAATCATCTAATGCCGCAACCGAAGTTACCAAAGGCGAAAAAAAAAACGCAACCTAGCCAACCCAAAACTAAAAAAACAGTTTACAAAAATAACAAAAAATGTTCGATCGTTACGACCGAACTTGAAATTAAAAAAAAAAGAATAAACCAACTGACACAATACCCGTGCATTTATCATGTCTAAGCTAAAAATGGAAATAGTAAGAGAAAATACAGAACATGGTTCGTTGTCTTAAAGTTTGAATTTGACTTGAAGGTGTTATTATATGCTGCTAAGGATCATAAACAAGAAAATTAATTTTATTGGAAAGATTTCTAGCATTGTTCTATCTTAATTTTGGTTTTGATCAAGCAAGTAAATCTTTTATTTCGAATAATTAAGCTGTAAGTTATTTTTACTGAAACTATTATTGAAGGTTCTTACAGAAACTCTATGTCGAATCGACATCGAATCGATATCTACCATCATTTAACGATAATTGATCGAGGTAGTTTCGATTCGACATTGATTTTACGTCGAATTACGACATCGATATGATACTAATATGGGCATTTGCTATTAAAAACGAGCTTTGAACATAGTAATTCATATTATCCGTAACGTTATTTTAATAGCAAACCTTTCATATGACATAATACATCTTCAATATGATATTAATACGACATTTTTATATCAATAGTAATATATTAATTTTAATTTATATATAAAATAAAGTTTTATATAATATACAATTAATTTTATTAATTTGAATACCTATTGAATAACTTTTCTTTTTAATTCAAGGCGTATAAAAATATTACACTTTCCTTTCTTAGTTAGCATTTGTATGTGTCATGTGCTCAAATAAGCGATCGCTACCTGAAAATGATTTTGACTAAAAATAGATAAAGGTTTACCATTGTAATTTGACATATATGCATGTCAAAAACGTAGCTTAACACATGAAAGGATAAGGCCTGTCGAAAAGCGAGAGAGATTTTTTTCTACCAATTATCATTATTTATATAGGTGCATTAAGCATATCATTCTCGCTAAATTGTATAAGACTTCGAATCACGATTCTCCACATGTAATGTAACCATTTCAGTCATTTATTTTTTTTTTTCAATTCTTATTTTTCGTTCGTTCATAAATCCTTTCAAAAAAAATTATCATCAATGGATGATCTAATTTATGGAAAAACGTTATCATTTTGATTTGAAAAGGCATCGTACACGCAATATCCTTCATTTTGCATATCCAACGATTACTTTATCATAACAGTGCTTTGAATTCTCATCAAACACGACATAATTTGGACAATAAACTTATGGCACAGTACATAAATTCTATTTTTTTTTTTTTGATCGTCTTTAAACAGAAAAAAATAAAATAAAATTATATAATAATTGGACTGAATCACGAGTACCGAGATATCAAACTCGAGGCATAATTTAAATTTTTTAACAATTGTTTTCTACTTCCAAATAATTTAAAATTGTTAGATCTTTTTCTTTTTTAATCCATTATTATGCTTTTACGCCTCAAAACACAACCTTATTATTTGCAACAATGACATAAAAAAATTTTTTTTTCGTCATAAATCAATAATTTTATAAATCGGGAAAAACTTCTTAAGAAGATTCTTTGAAAATGTTCTTATTTCCAAATAAATAACAAATTGTTTCTACTTTTGCTACATTGCTATTATTCATCATTTAAAAAGATGAAGATCTGACCGAATAAGGTTGGTCTTATCGCAGTAAAAGTTATTGTTTCCCTTTTTGGGAAATCGACGGGCGTTATACTTTATTTGAAACGAAATTTAAAATATAAATTCATTCTCTGAAAGTCCGTGAGTTTATCATTTATTCTTATAATGAACTTGAACGATGGATAAAAACAAAAGTGAACTACCTAATTCGAATTCCGATTTACCTCCTAAAGACAAGAATTTTGTTGATAATAATGTTACTGTAACCTCGTCATCAACTTCGAATAATAACCCTAAGGAACCAAATACTTCAGTTTTGGAAAAGAATAAAGAAAGAAATAAAGGAAAAAAGAAAAATTCTAATAATGTTGTTGACCAATCAACTAATGTCACTAACGATGAATTCAGTACTGGACCACAACCTACTGCTGATTCTCCACCTGAGGATGCAAATGAAGAACCAGGGCGACCAACTAGTAATTCTGGAGAAGATTTAAGAAATCAAGGCGATTCTACATCACAAAATAATGACAAGATTCACAATGAAAAGAGAAATTCATCATCCACTTTTTTTTCCAGTCTAAAAAAAATTATAATGGGTAAAGAAGTTCCAGATGATGGTGAAACCGTAGAAATCATATTTCGTGTGCATTTACCTAAGGTTCGCAGCGGGGAACCTGTTGTGGTTGGTAGTATAGAGGAACTTGGTAATTGGAAAAAACCCAAAGTTAAACTTAAACAATATAAAAAAGGTTGGAATTATTCATCTGATTCATCTTATTGGTATTCAGAACCAATTCGTATCCCGATCAAAAGATTTAAAGAGACTGTTGAATATAAGTATGCAGTATATTTTTCAAACGGCGACTTACAATTTGAAGGGCATGGCAAGCATGACAATCGTGGACTAGAAATTCAGTGTCAAATATTTGATATTTGGAATAATAATTACTTTCACAGAATTGATAGAATCACCGATTATATGTTCTTAGACATCATTTATGAATCCGCAACTTTAGAAAACATCAAGGATGATATTTTAGATTATGATAATATCCTAAAACAGCATCGCGAATTAACTTTATCCGTAACGAATATACCATTTATTAGCAAACGTTTATCGGATACTTCTATTGGTAAACGTCTTTTCTTATGCTTTCTTTTAGGACATTGTCCTAATAAGTACGGAAAATATGAATTGCCAAGAGATTTTCAATCTAATACTTTGCTTCAAGCTCTCTTTACAATTGATTCTGAAAAATTTCCAAAGGATAATTGGCATGTTGTATTAAAGGGACTTGATCTTTTAATTCATCACAATATTAATAATGGGTCACACGTATGGCTCGAAATCTTTAAAATTGCACGTAAAATCGATCCTCAATATAATTTCATCGAAACCATAACTTTTGCTAAATGTAATGATGACAGATATATCAAAACTTGTTTTGAAATTGTGCTATCACATGAAATGGATGAAAATAATCATGTGAAAATTATCAAGGTAAATTTTTTTTATATACACGTCATTGTCTGATTGTATTATTAGTCTATCATATCGATTAATCATTTATTATTAATTTTTATTATCTATGTAGTGGTTGATGAGCCAATGTAAAAATGTGAAAATCTTATCATTCGTTTGGCGATCTTCAAATAGAAATGACGAGCAACTTCGACAATATTTGATAGAAAATATTAAAAAAATTATATCTAAAGATGATGCCGATAATTTACATAGAAATTTTAAAGAGCTTCCTGATGAAATTAGAGATAAAGCCTCTGGCCTATTTAGGAAAAGAGCACTTGACATATTAAAAAATGCTCGTCGTGCTGTTTTGAATAAATCCAGTTACCAATCGATTTTTGATCTTTTAAATTCTGCAAAACTACGGTGGACAAAAGAAGAATATATTGTTGTGTTGGAAATAGTGTCGACCTTAGAAGATTATCAGCTATCAAGCGTGTTTCCATCATTATTGGAAAATTGGATTCAAATGTCAAAAGAAATTGATAATAAAATAGCTCGAATATGTACTCAATGGTATAAAAAGCTTTTGAATTTAATGGATCGAAAGTCTCAGTCATCATCTCATTTAATGGATCATAAAGAAGAATACGTGACCGCAATTTTTGAGAAATTTTCAAACATCTGTACAATAGTAAATGAACAATCAATATTGGATGACTTAATGGAAATAACGATCAATCGTATTAGACAGTCTTCAGAAACATCAATTTTCTCTGCCACAACTAAAATTGTAAACTTAAGATCAGAAGCGGTACATGTATTTACAAAAGTTATTAAAGAAAAAATTGATTCAATGGAATTAAATCGCGATAAATATTTATTAAAGAAAATGCAAGCTATTTGTGGTTGTACTGGTAAAAAAGTTCTTGAGATACCAAATGAGTAAGTAATTAATTAATTAAGTACTTTTTTTATGTTCAAAAAAATTTATATTAATCAAATTTTATGTATTTCTGATTTTTTAGATTTTGTGAAACCATTTTACTTCACATAATGTCATGTTTACAAAAGAATACTTATTCAAAGATCTCTTCGTATGAGTCTACTGAATTCTGGATTGTGATTTTACGAGCAACTGGCAGTATCGAAAAGTTTCGTTCTCATCAACTTGTGCAAGAAACTAGAACAACCATTATCGAGCTAGCTGACATCATAAAAAACAGTTCAATAAAAATTCTACCTCTTCAGGATTTGCTTAATCTTGATGATGACATCCTTCATTTTTATTTAAACTCTGCAAATTATGATAGTAAAGAGATCATTACCAAGGATATATTGGTTAAGGTTCGTCAGAATTGTCGCTTCTATGAACAAAGGTTGGAAAAACTTGACGATTTTTATAAAAGATTTTGTCCGCTACAAAAAATCAAAGATGTGCAAAATTATTTTGATGAATTAAGTGAACGAAGCAAAAAACTGAATAAAATATCACTGGAAGAATCCTTATCAGGAGCCCATTGGAGCTTCCATAAAGGAATTATATCAATAGCAGAGAGTACATATGAACTAAACAAATCTCAAACATTCTATAATGTTTTTGAAAAACGATTGAATGAAGTATACAATGAAGAATCTGGTGATATGAATGTTGAATTTATAGCACAAACGTTAATGAAAGATGTTTTAATGGAATATATTGCTAAGTGCAAACATTACGAAAATTGGGAAAATCTCAAATACTCTGAGGAAATACTATTTTGGTGTAATGTTTCTAATTTTGATGATGAGCTTAATTTAATGGAAAAATACAGCAAAATTTGTATAAATAAAGGCGTAACGTTCATGATGACGATACGGTATCTATCCAGAAATAATGATTGGAAAGAACGTACAGAAAATTTATCAAAAATTATTAAGATTTTCGAAGTCGAAGAAAACTGGCTTGACAACTTGTTTAATCACAGAAATTTGGGCACATTTAGTAACTCCGTTGAAACTATAAATCAAAAATTTTCCAAATTCAATAAGAATAACTGGGAGTTTGTCAAAGAATTATCACGATCTGAAGATTTAATTAAATTCTTAGAAGATAAAACAGATGATGATTTGAAAAATTTGATTAATGGTGTCGATGAGCACTCGGATACCAGATTGATTCAAGAAGGCACTATTTCTTCCCTTATTCAAATCAAGCAATTCTTGCATCCATTGATGAATGATCCAAATTTAACTATGGATAAATTATTAAAAGAGTTCAATTATATTAACACTTCGCTAGCAGGTAAATTGTCATTATGCAATAGTAACGTCATGGCTTTAAAAAATATGTTCAAATCCATCTATAACAAAGGCGAAGTTACAAAGGAAAAGATTCAAAATGCTGTAAAAATTGGTACATATGAATTTAAAAAAGAAGAAAAAGATGAAGATTGCATTTTGGAATTATCATACCCCTCCAAATTAGGAACCATGAGGTTCAATATTAGTGAGTTACAGGATTTACGTAGCAGAGCTCTTTTAATTTCAAAGCCTGGTGGTTCTATTGGACAAATGGATGATGATACCGATGATATTAAAATCAAAATGGAAGAATTTGTGAAACAAGTTGACGTTGCTCAAAGTATAATTATAATCATGAAAAAGTTAACTCAATTAGGACATTTTGGATATCGAGAATATAACGAATCAGCCAAAGGTACCTGTAATTTAGAGAAAGTAGCAAATCAATTGAGAAATGGCTTGGAATCTTGGTAAATATTTTATTTTATTGGGAGAATTTACTTGTTTATTATAGAAGTTATTTATTAATACAATTATAATACTTGTAGGGAGAAAATTGTTGACCGTGCACAAGAAAATTGCTATTACCTAACGTTTTATCCAGCAAGACACATATTAGCATTTTATGACTATTACACGGAATTTGGCGAACGATTCGAAATAAAAGAAACTTGTCAAATACTTGTGTCATTCGTAAATCGCAAAGCCAAACTAATTGCTCAAGGATTGCATTGTAATAAGAATAAATACGATGAAGTTTTAGAAGCGATTAACTATAGATTAGAATACATATTTGGAACCCTTGAGAAACATGCACGACCAGTGAAAAATTCCGAAGAACGCGTAATTTCAGATACGGTGAAATGTGGAGAATTATTTGTCGCGGCTTGTGATGACAAATCGAAAGTTCCTAACATCATAATGTCATTTTATGTCAACCATGGATTTTATCCTGAACCTTGGCAACTTTTGATATGTATGACATCTACTACAGAAGAAGAACTTTCAATTTTTATCAAACGATGCTTTTTTGCATCAAAAAATGGTTATGAAGGCCATTTATTCTGCATTGCGAATTTGGAATTATTAGATTTTGAATTACAATACTATCTCGTGAATAAGATTAGATTTTTTACGGAAAAGGTAGAAGATTTTTATTTAGCGTTGATATGTTGTTCTAAAAATGGTATGCATCATCATATTGTGGACCAGTTTTCTAAATATGTTCACGCTACTGATGGACTTGGTACTGTTGCGATGAAGGCTATTTATAGTGAATTATGTCAAAAGGTTACATGCGTAACTTCAGAATTATCCGGACAAGGAAAAACAAAATTTATTGAACAGGAGAGTTCTAAAAATGACAAGAACTTAATTTCAATTCTAATTAGCGATGGAGCAAGTTACAATTCGCTTATTAGACAACTTAAAAATTCCCATATTCAACAAAATGATAGTCTTCACATAAACATAATATCTGCTGATAATCCTGGAGAAGTCAATATATTCTTATTTCAATTATTAACTCTGGGAATGATTTCAAACAACGCGGATATTACAAGTCTTCCAGATACCTATATATTTATTGAAATAGCCGGTAACCTTTTGTTCAAATCCCTCCCATTCCTTAATTGTTTAATTAACACGCATTTAGTATGGAATATTGATAGATTGATGGTGCCCAAAGATATACACAGCCCAATTCAAGTCGTTTGCCATTATTTGGATCTTTATGATAAGAAGGAGCTCGATAAAAAAGATATTATATACCAATCACGCGAATACAACACCGTTACAGAACCGCTTGATCAATTACTTTGCCAAACACTTTTGGACAAATATTTCTTTAAAAAGATTGATCCTAGTACCTTGTCTTTTCGGTTTTTAGAAATTTTTGTGAATGTGCTTTCTGATCAATTATTAAGGTTATCAGGAAGTTCTTTCTTCAGAGTTGAAATTTTGAAATTTATGACTAATGATAGTAATAATATTCGATCAACATTATTTAATACATTATTTGGCGTTTCAAATGATTTTGCTACAAAATCGACCAAAACAAAATCTGCACAATTACAATCCATTTCTAAACAAGCGTCCGTCGAAGTAGATCATTTAGAAAATCTTGTTCATTGGGATGATTCTAATCATCTTTTAGTATTTTTCCTGTCTCAATCCCCGGAATCCATTAGCGCTTTATATCGTAATAAAGACATAGTTCCAAACAATGTTTTAGAGCTGTTAAAAAGTCAAAGATGGGAATTAGTAGATTATCAAGCCATGTCCTCAGAACTATTATTAACCATATTAGAAAGTTTAGCTCGGAAAACAATGCATGTTATTATTTATCAACCATATGCTTTATCTGCAGATAATCTATTGAAAATGGCATTGATGTTATTGAGGACAAGAGCTAATATTCCTGTAGTAATTTGTGGGGAGGCGGGATGCGGAAAGGTATCGTGTATATAATTATATTAACTTATATTTGTTTATTTCTTATAGCATGATTTTTTTATGTTTCCTAACTTTTTGTAGACAAGTTTAATTAGTTTCTTGGCTAAAGTTGTGGAAGTAGAATTTGACTCACTTAATCTTCATGCTGGTATTACAGAAAAAGCTATCAAGGATTTCATGAATGAATCCGGTAAAAAAGCCGCAACTAGAGAGATTTGGTTGTTTTTTGATGAAATAAACACTTGCAATCACATAGGATTATTGGCAGAGCTTATTGCTCATCGTAAGCTTGATGGAAAGCCAATTCATCCAAATATTCGACTATTTGCCGCCTGTAATCCATATCGTATTCGGAACAAGAGTGTTAGCACTGTCGGATTAAAACCAAAAAAGATCGTCTTTGAACATCAAAAAAGAAATCTCGTTTATGAAGTTAAAGTTCTTCCAGATCAAATTTTGGATTACGTATGGGATTACGGAATTCTTCAATCGAAGGATGAAAAGATTTACATCCAAATAATGGTGCAAGAGGCGAAATTAGATCAGATCTTTGCGGAATTATTATTTGCATCACAAGATTTTATTCGTAAAGTTGAAGAACCTTATAGTGTCAGTTTGCGCGACGTTAAAAGGGCCATAAAATTGTTCGACTTTTTTTATAAAAGTCTTTTAACGCGACAAAATGAGAAGAAAAAATATCCTGATAAGTCTGTGAATATTCATACTCGATCATATGTTTTAGCATTAGGTTTATGTTATCAGTCTCGCTTATATGAACGTGAGTTAAGAAGAAAATATCGTGAAGCGATGTGTAAAATATTTGGAAATATGAAAGAAGCTCGTTTTAATGAATTAATTAGAAATGAACAAATGGACTATATGAAAAGAATGATTTGTCCACCAAATACTGCATTCAACGAAGCATTATTGGAGAACGTGTTGGCTGCTATTGTTTGTATCATGTGTAAAATACCACTATTCATTGTTGGTGCTCCAGGATCTTCAAAATCACTGGCAATCAGACTTGTATATCAGAATCTTAGAGGACTTGATTCCAGTGACACATATTTTAGAACATTACCACATGCATTTTTTATTCCCCATCAAGGCTCGTCATCATCTACTTCTGATGGAATAGAAAAAGTTTTTCAAAAAGCAAAAGCTTATCAAAAAACAAATT